ACGAACAGGTTCGCAAGAACCGGTGCGAACCGGGAGGAACCCACCCCTGACATACATACATACATACATACATACATACATACATACATATCCATTAATTCTACCACCACCCTTTTATTTTCTGTCTCATCTGACTCAACAAAATAGATTGTCATTTATTTATTTACTGTATTTATATTGTCATTCAATCATTTTTATGAAAGAAACTGACAAACCTGTTAGTTTGATTTAAACTTATAATGGAAGGAATACAATCGATTTCAGTTTACAGGCCCCTGATTCAATATAGTCACCAATAAATGTAGTAGTGAAAATATATTATTAAAATAAGGATTTATATTTTTTAAGCTCTTGTTGGTTGTTACAAAGTTGATGTAAGCTTTCTGTCATAACATATTAAATACATTAATAATTTTTTAAAAATAATTGAAAATAGCTATTTATATTTATAGGGGAAAGAAAAGGGCTCCACTAGAGTTCATGCCTTGAACAATGTCAATAAAGCACTACAAGTCTTGCAGAAAAATAACGTAAGTAATAATTTGCATGAATCCATAATGCACACAGGGTTTTAAAAAACACAAAGCTGTTTCTGAAATACATTTCATGATGGATAAGATTCAGCATAATTATATGAAATATGAAAGATTGAAGTATATGGCTTCAAACTGCAATATGTTCAGGAAATGGTTTTAAAAACTGTTTACTCAATTTATATTTATAAAAATATATATTTATGTTTCTGTTTTCTTATACAATCCATAAAATAGTTACTTTTTAATATTTCATATTTAATGATGTACATTAGGCATTGTGAAATTATGTCAGAAAGCAGCTGCAGCTTCGAAGAGATTGATGGGCCAGTTTCTTATTTGTAATTATCTGAACATTGTGTTTCAAATACTTCTTTGTTTTGTGGGGAACCTGTTATTCACAAACAGGAGACTGCATAAATACTGTATTAGACTTCCATATTGAACTTTCTTCTTATAAAAAGTGGAATCTGCAAAATCCACAATGATATTGTAAAATTTGAAAAAGAAAGCTGAAATAAAAGTCAAATCTTATATCTTGAGCCCAATATTCCTCTTCACATCAGCACCACAGAGATATTTCAGTCTGGTATCAAATATTTCCTTAGGATCCTATATAATTGCTGATGCATAAAATGAATATAATGTGGGTATCAGCCTTGTCAGCTTTGTGTTGATATGCTCTAGAAGTGAGGGGAGGAATAATGTATTAATAGAAAGTCTCAGGAAAATGTTTGCATGATACATGTAGTAAATGACTCCCTAGATCAGTAATGGCTAATGGGAGCGTGCAATATCCGTTTTGGCACCAAGTGCTGAAGCGCATGTGTCCCAGAAACTGAAAAAACAGATGAACTTCTGGTTTCTGGCATGCGCATGCATGCCAGCCACCTCCTCTTCCAGTTTGTGGTGTGCATGCACATGTGAACACCAGCTATCCAGTGCGCATGAGCCAGCTCTGCCTGGCCTTGGAGGTAAGGGGCATCAGTGTTCCCGGGGCTTGGATTGTGGGGCCAGCAGGCGGGAGAGCTTTTCCCCAACTCTGCGGGATGAATCACTCTCCCAGCCCACCTCCGAGAACCAGTGCAGCCCCTCCCCTTCCCGGTTACTTCCTGGTTAGCGCGCCTCTTACCCCTCAGTGGCATCTCCATGCTTCCTCTCCTTTGGCCCTCATGGAGCAACTTGCCTCCCCGACTGCAGCTCCTCCTGTTTTTCCTGCTCCAGTATCCTGACCGGGAGTAGCAGTGTGAGAACTGCCACCTTTTCTGGTGATGTAGAGGGAGGGGTCACGGCAGAGTTTTATCACAGCCTGATTGGTCCGTTAGACTGAGAGAAAACTTCTTAGCCTTCAGCTATCCCACTGTCTCCCAGTTTCCTTTCAGTCTTTCTGGTCCTAGGACTGTTGATTTGGCTCTCTAGGCAGGAAACGTTTTTACTAGTGAGATTTCTACAATTTACTATTCTAAATTGTCTAAATTGCTTAAATTGAGCAAATTCGGCTGTGCCCAGATAGGACAGTTCTTGCTGCCCTAAAACAGTGGGGAAGGCCCGTTGGGCAGCTCCTCTTTCCCTCCGTGGGCCAGGCTCCCTGTGCTGACCCCCGGGGCCATTGTCGGGGGTGCCGAAGGCTGTTTGCAGCCGCAGAAGAGCCCACAGCACGGGTGGCTCGATTTGGAGGCTTTTTGGCATGAAAGAGGTGAGGGGGCACTGTGCGCATCACACGCACTGCCGCAACCTCCTCGACCTTACCAGCAACCCAGCCAAGCCTAGCAGAGAATTTCCAGCCACTCCTTCGTTGCAGGCTCCCTCCGAGTCCTCAGAAGCTCGTGGAGGCCTCAGTGAGCCACCAGCGGCTAGCACTTTCAAGGGGCAGCGAAGTGGAGCATTAAAAAAAAAATCCTACGGAGCTCCGGCTGCCATTTTGAAATTGACACGTGGCCTAGCCCAAATGTGCCTCGCAGGGCCTGGTCTACCGTACCAGACCAACTCAGGTCCCGGTCTTCTGCACCTAAGCCTCTGCGTAAACGCATCAGCAAGCCTTGCAGAGAGACTCCGGTCTACTGACGAGTTTAAGGTCCTGGTCTATTGTACCAGATGGTCTTAAAGAAGAACTGGCTGGAGACTGTCGATCCTGGAGCAGCTCTTCAGGATGTGTGAGTGCCACAAAATGGCTGACAGGGCCGACTCTCTGCCAGCAGAGGCCACCCTAACCTTTGTGGGCGTGGAGAGCCTCCCAGACCAACACAGGTCCTGGTCTACTGCACCTAAGCCACTGGCTAGCACAAGACCATCCAGAGCGGCTGAAAAGGATGAGCTTAGTAGGCAAAAGACCTTGGAGAAGACAATTGCTAGGGCAGAGAAACAGGCCCAATCCAGCAGGCCCCGATCCAG